AAAAAAAAAAAAAAAAATGTATCTCGCTCTGTTACCCAGATTGCAGTGTAGTGGTGCAATCAGGGCTCAGTGTCAAGATTTATCATTTAGTAATGGTCAGTAAATCTCCAAGAGTATGCAGTCAGGACTGAGTAGGAAACAAGTTGGAGAGTGTCCCTCCCTTGACAAAATTGATGATCCAAGATCATCACACCTATTTTTTTTTTAAAGACAGAATCTCGCTCTGTCACCTGGGCTGGAGTGTAGTGGCACAATCAGGGCTCACTGCAGCCCCAACCCCCTAAGCTCAAGGTATTCTCCCACTTAGGCCTATCAAGTAGTGGGGACTATAGGCATGTACCACTACAAAGTGCTTGGCCTCCCAAAGTGCTAGAATTACAGGCAAGAGCTACTGCTCCTGGCCAAAATAACACTTTCTACATCTGATCTAAGCAAGGGTGTTAAGAAACAATTACAGTTTCCTTGGTTTCTTCAACATAGGCTTTGTCAGTTTAAGAGTAGAATTAGCCTACTTTTGAACAACTAAAATTTAACAAAACAATGACACCATTTGAGAGGCTAAGTTAGAATCTTAGTGTTATTAGATCACACACACAAAACTAGTTCTGAGTTATATCTGGTCTGGCCCAGTATTCAAGTTACGGCTGGCTGACAAGGAGTTAATTAACAGTCATTGCTGTGGGAGGTTACAAGCTTAGGTGCACTGGACAATCTCCCTAATGGTATTCAGGCTAAAAGAGTAACAGTTGTGCTTCTGGATTTCCCTTGATTTATTGCCCATTACATCATAGGTTTTTGGGAAATCAGAAATTACTTTCTAAACTCTGCCACTGAGTTTGCTTTGTGGTCTTGGACAACTTGTCAAACCTATTTGATCTCAGATTTTCTTATCTTCAAAATGAGGACAGTGACAACAATCTCCTAGGGATAAATGTGTTTTTAAAAGCTTTATTTCAGGAGTGAATTCTAGGTTTGTTTCACTGTCATCTCTATAAATCACAAAGCAGTAGCCTGCTTTGAGACAATTTTTATTTACACAACACTTTAGGATTTTAGAAATTAGCCTCAAATGAGTAAAACAATTTACAGGTTTTTGTATTCATTCTTTGTCATCTTTGATATTCAAAGTTGAGTTGATTTAAAATCGTTGTACTCTATTTTATTGGTATTTAAGTATTTTTGGTGTGTCAAGTGGCAAAATCACTAGCCTTGTAGTAATTACAGAAATCACTACAAGGTGGATTTCTATTTACAAATAATAGATGAAAAATACATTGCATACAATGAGATACCACTTCATACCTGTTAGGATGGCTGGTTTTATAAACAGAAAATAACCACGACATAGAGAGGTTGGAACCCTTGTGCATTTCTCATGGGAATATAAAATGCTCCAGCTGCTGTGGAAAACAGCTCGGTGGTTCCTCAAAAAGTAGTTAAACATAAAATTATCATAGGTAGAACAATTTCACTCCTAGGTATATACCCACAATAATTTAAAGCAGGGAGTTAAACAGATACTTATATTCCATTATTTACAGTAGTCAAAAGGTGAAAACATGGCACATGCCTGTAATCCCAGCACTTTGGGAGGCCGAGGTGGGTAGATCACCTGAGGTCAGGAGTTTGAGACCAGCCTAACATGGTGAAATCCTGTCTCTACTAAAAAGAGAAAAAAAAAATTAGCTTGACGTGATGGTGGGTGCCTGTAATCCCAGCTACTTGGGAGGCTGAGTCAGGAGAATTGTTTGAACCCAGGAGGCGGAGGTTGCAGTAAGCCAAGATCAGGCCATTGCACTCTAGTCTGGGCTACATGAGTGAAACTCTGTCTCAAAAAAAAAAAGCTAAAAATAAACCAGGTATCCATCAATAAATGGATAAACAAAATATGGTACATACAGTGGAATATTCTCTATCCTTTTTTTTTTTCTTTTTCACTCTGTCACCCAGGCTGGAGTGCAGTGGTGTGATCCCTACTTACTGCAACCTCCACCTCCTAGGTTCAAGCAATTCTCCTGTTTCAGCTTCTTTAGTAGCTGGGATTACAGGTGCATGCCACCATGCCTGGCTAGGTTTTGTATTTTTAGTAGAGATGGGGTTTCACCATGTTGGTCAGGCTAGTCTTGAACTCCTGACCTCAGGTGATCCATCTGCCTTGGCCTTCCAAAGTGCTGGGATTACAGGTGTGAGCCACCTACCCGGCCTCAACCATAACAAATTTTAGAACATTTTTCCTCATCCCAAAAAGAAGTCCTATACATTGTATTTTTTTTTATTTTTTAGATGGAATCTCTCTCCATTGCTCTGGCTGGAATGCAGTGGTGTAGTCTTGGCTCACTGCACCCTCCACCTCCTGGGTTCAAGCAGTTCTCTGCCTCAGCCTCCTGAGTAGCTGGGATTACAGGCATGTGCCACTGTGCCTGGCTAATTTTTGTATTTTTTTGGAGAGACAGGGTTTCACTATGTTGGCCAGGCTGGTCTTGAACTCCTGACCTCAGGTGATCTGCCCACCTGGGCCTCCCAAAGTGCTGGGATGACAGTCATGAGCCATCGCACCCCACCAAGAATGTCATCTTTTTAAAACACCTATCTGTTCATCATTAAAATAGATAAATAAAATAAGGTACATGTATTAACTGATTCAACAGCCAGAGATCTGTCTGCCTTGGCCTCCCAAAGTGCTGAGATTACAGGTGTAAGCCACTGTACCTAGCCCCCATATACTTTAGTCATCACCCTACCACCACCCTCATTTCCCTCATCCTTAGGCAACTTCTTTTTTTTGAGACGGAGTTTTGCTCTTGTTACCCAGGCTGGAGTGCAATGGCGCGATCTGGGCTCACCGCAACCTCCGCCTCCTGGGTTCAGGCAATTCTCCTGCTTCAGCCTCCTGAGTAGCTCTAGGGATTATAGGCACGCGCCACCAGGCCCAGCTGATTTTTTGTATTTTCAGTAGAGACAGGGTTTCACCATGTTGACCAGGATGGTCTCGATCTCTTGACTTCGTGATCCACCCGCCTCGGCCTCCCAAAGTGCTGGCATTACAGGCGTGAGCCACCGCGCCCGGCCATCCTTAGACAACTTCTAATCTACTTTTGTCTCTACTGTTTGCCTGTTCTGGACATTTCATATAAATGGAATAATATAATATGTGGTCTTTTGCCGCTGGCACTTAGCATGATGTTCACAAGGTTCATCCATGTTATAATCATATATCAGTACTTCTTCTTTTTTTTTTTCCCCTTTTTCCACTTGTTCTAAACTTCATTTTTTTTATTGCCAAATACTATTCCATTGTCTGGAAATACCATTCATTCCTGGATATACCATTTGTTTATCTATTCATCAGTTGATGGACATATAGATTGTTTCCACTCTTTGACTATTATGAATAATGCTGCCATGAACATTTGTGTGTACAAGTTCTATGTGGACCTATGTTTTCATTTCACATAGGAGTAGAATTGCTGGGTCATATGGTAGAATTGCTGTTTAACCTTTTGAGGAATTGCCAGCCTGTTTTCCAAAGTGGCTGAACCATTTTACATTCCAACCAGCAAAGTTTTGACTGTTCTAA